CCTTTTTAGGCGATACTGACTTTGAACGGCGTCTGGGCGATATAACCATGATGGATTCTTGATAAAGCGCTCCTATGAGAACGAAAGTTTAAAAACAAGTATCAGCATAAACATCATACTTTCGAACAGGACACAGTACGGAATCGCAGACCATGGAGAGATGAAGGGTGAATGCATACCGACGCCGGCATTGGAAAGGATCAATTAAGAGAGCACAGCACAAAGCTGAAGGGGACAAAGGTAGCAGTCGGAGGGGGGGGGAGCACAAGGAAAACCGACAAAACGTGCTATGACGGTTTACTCTTTATAGCTGCGAAAGGTCTAATTTTCTGGAGATAAGGAGCCTGAGGTGACGGGGATCGGAAAAGGGAGGAGGGAGAGGGTGATTAGGTAGAAGGGAAGGAAGAGGGGAAAGCGTAGTAGGCGAGTGAATACGAGTAGGTGGAGGGTGAAGGAGTAAAGAAGAGGCAAATTGTGGTGGGAGAGGAAAAGGTGGAGGGGGAGGTGGATGAGGAGAGAGGGAGAAACAGGGAAGAGGGGGAGGGGAAGGAGGAGGGCTGTCTGTAACTGTCTCAAAATAAGACGCATGAACTCTTGGAAGTATAAAACAGTACTTGTTAGACGTAGGTGATACGACTTCGACCCGTGCCTCGGAAAACAGCACATGGCAGAAACTGACATGAATAACGTAGACGTGAGTACCAGGCAGGATGATAGGTAGAGGGGGAAAATTAGGTAGAAGAATAAGAAGCAGAAGATGTGGAAGAGGAGGTTGAAGAAAAAGAGGTGGAAAAAAAGAAAGAGAAAAAATTGGTCGGAAAAAAGGAAGAAAAGAAGGCAAAAACGAGTTTATACGAAGAAAATCAAAGTAGTACTGAGGAAATAGTGACAAATAGAGAAAGAACAACCCCAATACAGCGCACGGTGAAGTAGGAGGGGTTGAGAGAACGAGGCAATTGAAAAAGAAGTCACAAACATGATAATAAAGACTGGAAGCAAATATGGGCGGTAGGAAAGCAATGTTCGTTGATATAGCCAAAAGGAGGGCAAATTAATTAAAGATTTCGCAAAATATCGAAGACCAGAAGAGCTACGAACACAGACAAGGGCCAATAATAAACAGACACTAGGACTCACCTTTCGCGAAGGGAATGTAGTCGTAGACCCCAGTAAGGGGTCGGAGTGAGTGTTTGGACTTCAGCAATTCCATGGCCCGCTCCACCAACTGGACAGCCTCCTCCGATGCGACGTTAGCCTTCGCCTTCACCAGCGCATCCTCGGCACGTTTAGTTTGACCTAAAGTATGTGTGTA